ACAATGCCTCCACAGCGGGGAGGGCAGGGCAGGGAAGGGGCAGGGGAAGGGGAAGGGGAAGGGGAAGGGGAAGGGGAAGGAGAAGGGGAAGGGGAAGGGGAAGGAGAGGTCTGTGCTGGTACTGGCTCCAAGTTTTGTTCCCCTCTTATCGCAAACACTGCTATAAAATAGCCCGGCGGTCCTGATGTTTATTATACCTAGTCTGAAGCCGTGTCCAGATGAAGCTTTTACTATCGCTCCTCTCTCCCCGTGGTTGGGCTTTCCAGCAGCAATGCCTGCTCACCTCCCTGCGCAGCCTATGTGTCACACGAAATTAATAAAGCCACGGCTCGCCCGGTGTTTTATGCTCAGCCTCTGCTCATTTTATTTGATTGTCTCGTTTTTTTAAGAAATAAAAGACGTGTTATTGTTTATCACGGATCATTGGAAACCATAAAGGGGCCTGGTGCCTCCCGTGTTAAACTACCAAGGAAGGGGGCTGCTTGCAGCCTAACATCACCGCCACGACGCCAGGCTGGGCTTAATTTTCCTGGAGATAAAATGCTCGCCGCTGCGCTGAGGAATCTCTTAGGGAGCAATGCCACTCTGAGAGGATTGATTGTGCGGTTGCAGCTTCTAATGCTTTAGTTAACGCTGGATTCTTCCCGAGGTCTGATTACCATTTAAAATATAAAGCCAGACATATGTCACAGAAAGAATCCAGACGCGAGCAGTTCAAATGGATCCTCGCAGGATGCTGCGCTCCGTGTTTATTGATGTGTTTATATTTGGACGATCATTTTTATATCTCCCATCCCTCCCGCTCCATTTGGGTCTTTTCACTTTTCGCCTCTTCAAAAGCATCCCCTCCGTTAAGCAACGTACTAAATAATAGAAATAAGAGTAGCTAGATAAATACAGAGATGCTAGACAGCCCAGTCCAGTCAATATGTAATTGTGGCGGAGTAGCAGACAGATAGCAGACAGACAGGGACGCAGGCAGAGAGACAGATAGATTTCGTAATGAAATGCTTAATGATGACTTGCTTTCACTTCCATCATCTCTCGCTTATGCCATTTTAAAGTCGCCTCACTGCCTGGCCCGCGGAACTAAGGGCACTTCAGTTCAAGTGGAGCCTGAGGCTGCCCAGTTCTCGCTGCCCATCCCTGAGGAGCATCACTCGCTCCTCTCTCCCGCACGCCGCCTGGAGAAGAAGCCGTCGGCCGGTTTCCGCTTCCAGCAGGTCGGGCGGGTGAGAGCGGCTGCCTACCGGGCGTCATCGCCGCTCGGGACGAGAGCCGCTGCCGGGCACCCGGCTGCCGTGTCCGGGAGGGCACTGGCGGCGGTGATGGGGCCGCTGCCTGCGGAGAGGGGTGGTGCCGGAGCAGGCGCGGCGCCCCGAATTCCCCGGCCCTCACCCTCGGCCTTCGAAACCCCCAGGGAACACTTCTTCCCCCTCGCCCCACGTATCTGTCAAGCCCCACGTGGTCTTGTCCCGTAATATTTGCCTGCCAAAAAAAAGCTGGGAAAAGCTTTTTTTCCACAGCGTGACATTCCCCTGGAGGAATCCCTCCTTGCGGCAGGAGGGCAGCGTCCCTTCCCGCGGGGCTCTCCCCAGCGTTCCTCCGCGCCTCCGGGAAGCGCCAGGGCAGGCAGGGAACGCTACAACTTTGAAACACCCATAAAATCTCTGTGGAAAGGTGCCTGATTTTTCCAGCGTGGTGGGGCGAGCATCACAGCGCGATTTCCTTCTGACCGGCCCGTAGGATGCGGTGACAGGGGTAGATCTCTCAGCCTATAGAAACCCTTCGAGGTTTTTTTCCTTCCCGCATTTCCTCCTGTGACACTGTTTGATTTCCCAACTCGACTAACTTCGGATGTGTTAATGTGCGATGGACGAATCCTTATCAGATTCCTATGAGGACCGTATCATTACTAACAAAATTAATACCACATAAGGAACTGGTTTATTGGCTGGTATACAGGAAGGCTATTATCAATAGGCTTAGCTTCATAAATACAGATCTAAATAAAAAGAAACGTGAGCCCCAGCGCCGCCTTCCAAATACATTTCTCTATACAAGTCAGGTATAAAAATTACTCTGGGGAAGTCTGCTCTTGCGGTATGTTTATTTTGCATTTGCCAAATTAAATAGAAACGGATTGCAAATCTAAAAGCCATACGGAACCGGGGAGAAACGCTTGAAATCCTTCCAAAGCTGTTTTTAAAATAAGCAGCTTCCTTTTAAAAATTGGATTAAAGTGAAGGAAAGTACTATAAAAAGTATGCTGCAATCCTCGTCAGCCGGAATGACTGGAAGTGCATCGATGAGACGCGAGTTGGCTTCTCTTCCCTCTGCGATCTAATGCAGGGAAATCAGACAAAAGGCGCAGAGGCCGGTGAGAATTTCTGAAGGTGTTCTTTAGCCTCCCCGTTTAGGTTTTGCAGCCGTGGGTTACCCCACCGCCGTGTCGGGTCCCGCGGGAGCTGCCGTGGGGTGTTGTGCTGACCGCAGTAAACGGTGCCTGTTTGATGGTCAAGGCACCGACTCCGTCTAGATCATGAACTCAGCTCGGCGCTGCATTATCTCCGCTTTCTTTAATCGCTAACAAGGCCAAGGCAAATAGTAACCAGCGTCATCAAACCCACTGAAGTAAAACTAATAATGTTCACTTGATTCGTAACTATAAAAGATAATGGTCAATTCTGACTAAACTGAGCTAATTTGGCATGCGCTGAGTGCAGCTACTGCATTACCAGCGCTTAACAATGTGTCCCTTGGAACTTAACCCCTATTTAAAAGAAATTTTAAAGAATATTGTGGACGCCAGGGGACGAGAATTACTTTTTTTTTAATTCTACTTCTGTAAGTAAAGCTATCCGAGGGTCTATAAAACCGAGCAAATAAAATTCTGATAAATATCAAAGCCAGCGAGAAGGTGTTTTCGTGAAGAATCTAAATTCATGGCGTACATAGACAATACAATCAAAATAAAATTTTATTGATCTAAGAAAAATATAATAGATGTATTAATAGCGTCGTTAAGTAGTTTTATTGGTTGAACTAAAATTAAAAACAAAAAGGGAATAAATAAAAAACGACAGCTCAGCCTAAGCAAACTCTGACTGGAAATCTCAAAACGTATCGTGTTAAACTGTGATTTATCTTTTTATTATTGGCCCGTATAACCCAAAAGATCAGCGCTGTTAATCCAGAGACGCATTTTGCGAGCTAATTAAAATATGCTTTTATTTGTAGACGCGGGCAAGCTGCAATTTGTGAAAACGTAAACGGCCTTGCAGTCTGTGCAGGAGTGCATGCGCCGCCTATCTGAGAATAAAGCCGTGGACTACATTTTATACAGCTCCAAAAATTAATGCGATCAGACTATAGTTATTTAATATTGGAACTGTCAGCTCCCTGAAACGTGTGTGTGTGCCAGATTCCTCTTTTTTTATTCTTTTTATTTTTTTTCATTTTTCCCCCACCCTGGATTTGCTCCAAAGAAGGCGGATTTCAGACAGGAGGTTTAGGAACAGCGTCTGTGCCAAGTTAGGTGACAAATGACGGCCCCACTAATTTTATCTTTACTAGAAATTCTTTCACGCTGGTGGTGGTGCTGGGGAGGTTGGCTTGTTTTGGCGGATTATCTTGTTAAAAATTAGGCGGCGATTTAATTTTATTCCAGCCATCCGGAGGCTTGCTCGCCTAACTATGTTTTCTATTATACATGTATCGTTTTACTTATTTGGATTAGGAACATATTTTGCAAGTAATTCTGACGAGTTTCAAATGCTAGTGTGCGGCAGGACAAAATACACCCAAACCAATTCATTAGGGCTTTATTTCCTCGCCATTTTCCGGCACTGACGACAACAACAGGGCTTTCTATTGTCCAGAGAGCCCCAAACACCATGCAGAAGCAACAACGGTATCGGGTTATATATGTGTGGGGAAAATACTGCATGCCCAAGTCTGTCTTTTAAGTGTACCCCTTCTATTGCGAGAGATGCGCCGCACAGCTCTATTAAGCATTTGAAACTGTAGCCTTTCTCCCTTTTTGTAGCTGTCTTGCCTTTAAAGAGGGTCTGAATGCATATACAATTTTTTTTTTTTTTTTTTTTTTTTTTGTGGTATAGCTTGGCTGTCAGACACACACGTTGGCCAGAAGTTTCGATTTCAGAGCATTTAATGAAAAGATTGTGACCCAAAAAAAAAAAAAAAAATAGACAACAAAACCCAATGAGCTTATGAAAAAGCCTCCCAGGGATTTGGATGTGGTATGTGAGCTGAAGCTGAGTACACGATTAATTAAACACAGTGTAGACACTGAGCTGGCTTCCTCTCTTCCCTCCAAAACATGCAAACCCAAATAATGCGAAATAATAAACAGTTATTGTAAGAAACAAGCTTGTTTTTTTTAAATATTATCCTATGACCGCGGCCGTCAGTAAACAATTCGTAACCAGAGGGCGCTTTAACTGCTGCTGGGGTCCCTTTGATTTATTCAGCCAAGTATTGAATGGGACAGGGAAACAACAAGGGGAAAAATAAATATTTGATCAAATATGCGGAGTTTAACTTGACTGATGTAAAATGAAATGTTGCAAAGGGACCCTCAAATCTCCCTGATTCTCACGTGGCTTCTTGCATCCTGGTATTGCTGAGGGGAAGTCAAAAGGGATCAGCATCCCCGAGCTTTTAATGGAGCATCTTTGATGAAATCGATAGGTTCCAATAATCATCTGAAACTGCTCTCTGTCGACTGAGCATGTGCTTTTAACAACACTTGCAACAGTTCCCTGGAAGCACCATTTAAAAAATACTGCAGGCAACAGGCATTATATACATAGAAAATAAAGGATAAAATAATATTTTTCATTTTTTCGGACAGATACTTTAAACTCTGCCCTAAGAAACACGTATTAAAATATGTAGCCAAACCAGTATCTTCTCCATTCAATACCACCTTCCCGCCCACCCTTCTCAAATGGAGACATAAGAAAAACATGTGAAAATTTTATGGGCATGAAAAGTAACCTGGAGTTAGGGGTACTGGTAGAGAGGATAGAGTTTCAAAGCTACAATCCAGAGCAGCCCTGAGCACATGAGAATGAGTGACTATTGTTTGTTTACAGCACATGTGCTGATTAAGAAAGAAAGAAAGAAAGAAAGAAAGAAAGAAAGAAAGAAAGAAAGAGAAAATCTAAATCTGGTCTTGCACGAACATTGACTTAATATGCAATCACATGAACAGTTTTTAGCATAAGCATGTCAAAAGTTGTTTACCACAATCTGTGTCCAGCTGCAAGGAAGCAGACTACCCTTTAAAGTTACCAAACGACCCTAACTAAACTATAGTTCAAGACTAATAAGATCGTCAGAATTGTCTGTCATTTGCAGACTGTGTTGCCATAGATCTATTTGATTGAAGACACCTACTGTTCCACACATAAATGTCAAGTTTCATAATATTTCCAATGCTACACTTTTTTCTTTTTTTTTTTCCTTTTTTTTTTTTTTTTTTCTTTTTTTTTAATAAATGGAAGAAAGCTACAAGTTACCCTGAAGAAATATTTCCAGATAACGTGCATTTTCCACGCGTCTGGCCAAAACGAAGAAAAAAATAAAAGGTTAGCTGCAACTTAGAAAGTCGCTTCTATATTATTTCACATCCTAATCATCAACGTTTTTAATCCCTTCCCCTCCCTACAGTTATTTTCCGCGGTGTTCAGCGGGCAGGGCAGGGCCACCCCACATCGCATGGTACCATTGCGGTCACCGCACACTCCTCGCCGTTCTCCATGCCGGATAGATGTATAAAACACTTACCTTCGCGCATTTTCTAACCCAAAGCCCAGAGGCTTTAACTCCACCGAGAAGCCCCAGCGTCTCCCCCCTCCCCCGGCATCCCGAGCGGCTTTTTGTACAGCGGAGCCCGGTAAGTGCAATAATTACCCGTGTGGCTCCAGGGATGCAAAGTGAACAAAGGCCAAGATTTTCCTTTTTTTTTTTTTTTTTTTTCTTTCCCTTTGCAGGGCTGTTCCCCTTGCCCCGGGCGGCTTTGACATTGATCTGAAGATCGCCATCTTGTGGCAAAGCAGCCCCTAAACCGCGGCCGCCGTCCGTCCGTCCGTCCGTCCGTCCGCCCGCCCGCCGGGGCCCCGCGGCAGGACGGCGGGCGGCCGGGGGGACGGACAGACGGCGGCGGAGAGCAGTGGTCGCTCACCTCCCGGTGTAAAAACCTTTGGGCGAACCTACGCTGCCTTTATAGTGATGCATTTGGTACAGGCGAGCGGACAAGTCACGGACAGTTTTTATGGCTGCAATGTCACAGCAACACAGAGGATGCGATTTTATTGGGCTAGGAAATCCAAACCTCGACCACAGAAACTCCATGTTTTTACTGTCTTTGGGATTGGCTCTGAATACCAGTTAATTTTTAACCAGGAAAGGAAGCTTGCAGGTTTAACTTTCATTGTCATTCAGCTCTCCATCCATCCCTCTATTCCTCTCTCACCGTCTGTCCATCCATCTGTCTGTCTCCTTTTAACTGGCATTTCCCCTTGCATACTAGACAAACAAACAAACAAAGTCTCCTCTTTCCCCCCTCACTTTTCAACATTCCCTTTAGGTAAACGTTGTCTGGCTGGGTGGCAGTGGTCAACAAAGGCCCGAAGTCAGTAAGTCCTTCACCTCAAGGTTATGGGTGATGTCCAAGCAATACAGAAGTTCAAAGCCAGTAAACAATGCAAAACCAGAATCCACTTTCTTCCTCTGATTAGGATTAGGGTCAACATTAAAGATTCAAATATTCTCCTCAAAACACATCCCTATCTCAGCTATTGTTTGGTGTTTGGGGTTTTCTCCCCCCTGCCCTCTCCAACTTTCTCTCTCCAGCCCTCCTCCCCCCACGGTTACCCGCCTCAGTCCACCCCCTCCCTGCCTTGGAGATCAAGGACAATTTCAAACAGTCCATTTCCACCACATTGCCATGTGGATTCTTTTCCCCAAAGACAACAATTTTCTTAGGGCTCTCAAATTCTGACCACATCCATCAGCTGGCTTGAAACTTCCCTTTGGTGCCAGCTTATAAAATGTGTCCCAAACGCTACTGACAAACATTTCTCCTGGACACATGAGGCGGCGAGCAAACAGCAATGGCACATCCAACCCTCGAGCATAGGACCTTGCCCCGCCGGTGCTGGCAGGAGAAGGAGAAGGCCTAACATGTATTGAGCTATGAACACGCTTAATTTTCCTTTTCCTGTGACCCGCTGAAAGTATGCTCAAACAAGCCTAGGTTCACTTGTTAACTCCAGAGCAGAAGATTTAACGATGAAGTTCACAAAAGAAGAGTAATTTGCCCCAAATGACCGAAGATGGTCATGAGGAATTTCGGGTCCCAGAGTTATATTGGATAAAAGAACATGCAGTAACGTAACACCAGAGTAAAAATATAAAGTTTCCATTTTTTTTTTATTTTTCCTTGTGCGCTGTTCCACTGTATACATGCAACCAAATACTTGCGCATATTAAAAGAAAACTGTATATACATATAGATGATACATATTGAAAACAGTGACGTCATATAAAGATATTGCATGTTGTGAATTGTGACAAAGAAATTACATCCATTTGATAAAATTTATTAATCAAAAACATTCCTATCACCACTTTGTTGCACATGTAAAGAAATCCCACACCCTTTAGCCCCAAAGGAACAATAAAAAAACCCCCAAAAACCCCTTCACCCGGAAAAAAACCACCCGGGGAAAAAAAAGGGCATTAGAACAAAATAGGTTATGGGTTCTTTTTTTTTATTATTTACAAGTCTTGTAAAACACCGTTCCTGTATGAAATATACATTCAGATATCCTCGACAGCAAATTACTTCAACGATAGAACACGGTATCCTTTGTAAACTGATATAGAATTTTAAATATTTTCCTTTGTTTTTCTCTTTTTTTTTTTTTTTTTTTTTTTTTTTTTTTTTTTTTTTTTTTTTTTTTTTTTTTTTTTTTTTTTTTTTTTTTTTGTTTTTTTTTCACACTTTGGTTCCTGCAGGGAAATATATATATTTATAGATATTTAAAATAAGTTCAAACAACTCTCCATTCTTTGCATACGTCGACTGGGCGACAAAGTAGAGTTCGTGACATTTAAAGTAGACAACAACAAAATTACCATATTTACATTGTTTGGCTTCTGTTTAAACTCCTCACTAGTCACCTTTAAACGAACATGCAATAGAGTTATTTTAATCCTCCAATGTTAGTGCATTGCACAACTCCAAGTTTCAATTAAGTGTTGTGTGGTATTTGCTAAACTGTCGTTCTCCACAGGTATTTCCTGAAGAAAGTTTGTGAGCCAGAAGCCCCAGAAGGTTAGTTTCCTTTAAGGAGTTGTTTCTTTTAAAATGCTGAAATTCACACTTTTTTGCCGATTTATATTTAGTATTTGTATATGATTTGTCTCCAAAAAGATGGCAACGCATAGTCTGTTGTCACAAATAAAGCAAGAGCTAATTAAACTTTTCTAATTTTATTTTTAGTGATTGTTTCTTTACGACATATGGCGAATTTATACCTGATTTTTAAAAGTAAATAATTAATTTTTTTCATTTCGGTCTTTTTTTCCCTTGCCCCCATCCCTCCCCACACCCCCAAAGGAAACACTACTATAACCATCACTACATCCATATTACAACTACTGGTGGTTGGCCCCAGGAAGGTGTGGACATGAGATTCCCCCCCCCTTTCTTTACTTCTGTGTGTGTGTGTGTGTGTGTGTGTCTGTGTGTGTGTGTCCGTTCTTCAATTCTTATTTCAAACCCATGAGCAATGGAACACTGCCTCTAACCCAGATATTTTCCTAAGGAAGAACAAAAGATTATTTCTCAGAGTTTATATTCTGCAGTGGTCCTGCTTGGGTGAGCCCGACCTAGCAATCTCCCGACAGCTGTTCCAGAGCAGCACAGGGGGAGGAAAGGGCCGAGGATGGGCAAGTCCGGGGATGGAGAAGGACCGTCCCCACCCGTGCCTGCCGAAAGCGGTGGCAGGGTGAGCCGCAGTGCCTGGAAAGGTAAGAGGTATGGATTTTGCACTCAGAGGTGACGTGCACGTTTAGAAATGGATCCCATGTGTGTCAAAATCAAATTGATTCCAGTTGATATGGAAATATATATATATAAAATCATCGTCGCAGTTCCAGAGTAGGTTTACATGTGTGTAAAACCTTAGATTCTTCTAGTCCCGTCAGATACACACCTCCTTCCTCCACGTAACCCCGTGGCTTGACCTTGTCAAGGGCGAAATCTGAATTTAATCTCGTCTTGAAAAACGCTATGAGTTTTAAAGTAGTGGATTAGCTGAGTAATATTGTAATCGGTCCCTGTTAATTTTTTTTTCTTTCATTCTTCTGTTCTGAAACCATATTTTGACTTGACGGTCGGTCAGATTGAGCATTCGGGAGAGCTGGAGGCGTTTCTCTTTGTTTATGTAGACACTGAAGAAGAATTCCCTTTCTAACTCTCTAATCTGGTATTTGGTGTATGGGCATCTCTTTTTACGCGTACGTTGTCCACCTGTGGAGCGAAAAAAGGCAGAAATATTTGAGACCCGTCTGTCGCCGGCGGCGGGGGCTGAGAAGGGACGGGGGTACTCTCAGGGAAAGCACGTTAACGTGGAAAAGACGCGTTCTGCCCGCTCCGGGGTCGAAGTTGGTGGGTCCGGGGCTTGGCGCCAGCCCTCCGCCTTGGCGGGTGAGCGCAGCCGGGCCCGGGACCCGCCGGCACACCCCGGCTCCCGCAGCGCCGCGGCCCCGGGCGGCGTGCAGGGCGAAACCCCCGCCGAGACGCGGGGATCCGGCCTCGTTTCCTCCGCGGGGAGGGCAGCTGGAGGAAAAGAGTGGTGGCGGGGGGTTCTTGCGGATTTCACGAGCCGGAGGAAAGCCTTTGTAGGCTGCTCCGCCGGGCGCCCCCACGCACGCCGAGCTGCCCAGGGAGCAGCCATCACCTGGCTGCCTGCAGCGGGCAGCGCTGCGGCGGCGGGGGGGCCCGCGCCCAGCCCTCCCCGAGCCCCAACCCGCGTGGATCTCGCCCTCGTTCCCTGGCCTCATCCCGTCTCTACGTTCCGAGCAGAGGAAAAACCCCTGAGCCCAAGGCTGAGGCGTCTCCTTCTCCCCCTAGCCGGCTATTTTCAAGCACGTTCTCCACCGCATCGAGGTATTCTCCTCTCGATTAGCCATTACGGTTTTAAAGTTCATTAAGCAGAATATAAAAGGTTTCAAGGTTCAGGAGCTCTTTACATTAAACGTAGCTGCTATCCCTTTAAAAACTTCCTTTTCTGGTACAGTTCATTGTCGAGGTATTTTTTCCCCCGGCCGTATACTAGCTTTGCCTTTTAAAAAGCCCACATAAAAAAATCAGACTTTGACAGATTGAATAACAATTGTAAGTAACAAACTGTTGGACAGAAGGCAACACGTAATTGCCACAGTGCCTTAGTAAAATGGCTTCCTTTAGACAAAAAGGCCAGCTTTAGGTTAATTTGCTTCTTTTAATATATTGCTACAGTTCAGGCGGCTACTTTATCTGTTAAACGCCATTCTAGCGCAATCGTTAAAACGGCGAAGGCTTTGAATTCAGCTCCTAACTAGACTTCTGGTGCAACACATGGCTTTTATAAAATCACTGGATTACATTGATATCAAAGGAGTCAGGATCTCCTTTTTTGCCGAATTTACAGGCACAGAACTTACATTATTATATTTTCAAGAGCTGACCACGGAACTGTTTTTTTTTTATTATCTTTCTTAAAAAAAAAAAAAAAAAAAAAGCTGAAATTTTTTTTTAAAAGGAGAAGAAAAAGGAAAAAAAAATTAGGTATCCATTGCCCGGTGGGTATTTCACGGCCAATTTCAGCACTAAACACGTGATCTCGCCTTTTATAACAAAGTTTTGTTGGGGGAAATCTAAAGGCCCTTCATAAACCTTATATGCTTATAAAACAGCATATAAAAATTTAACAGCGGCGGTGCGCTAGATTTCAAGCTGCCTTTCCTAAAAGCGCTCCGGCGCTGCCTTTATACGTACTGGAACTGCCGGATTTCTCCTCATTGTTGCCGGAAGATGACTCGGGGCTGCTGCTGCTCTCCGGCCGCCTCCTCCTCTCCTTCTCCGCCGCCGTCGCCGCCGCCCTGCCGCAGCCGCCCTCCGAACTTGAAGTTGCCGCCGCCGCCGCCCCGGCGGCCGCGGGCGCCTTCTCGCCACTCTTGTCTACCGGGTAGTCCGCCGAGGCCAGGTTTTCCGCCGTGCCATAAGCCGTCTCGAAAAATTGGTCGAAAGCCTGAGGCAGGACCCCGTTCCTGCCCACCGTGCTATAGAAATTGGAGGAGACGTTGGTGCTGGGGTGGTAGACGTTAGCTGTGTTTTTGCCGAACATCTCGCCCATGCTAGCAGTGTTGGTGGCAGGCAGGCAGTCTCTGTGCATAATCTCCTCTGCGGAGTAGCAGTGGGGCAGATTGTTCCTGGGGTGCCATTTACTGGAGGGATCAATGGCATATTCCCTGAAGGTAACTTCTCTCACAGGTTGGACCTGGGGTAGGTTGGAGGAGTACGAGTATGTCATAGGGCGAGAAGAAGGGGTTTGGGGCAAAAAAGAAGGGAGGCTGGAAAAATCAGGACCCGAGACGTAGTAAGTACAACTTGGCAAATACATGTTAGAGGAACAAGGAACACGCTCATCAAAATCCATCATTAGGGCTACCTCGGCTTCTCCGCATTAGCTGAGCTTAACATGATTCTGTAACGCAGCTGCCCCTTTGAAGCGGCTCCGTGAAGTAAGGGATGGGGAGACGTAGGCTGACGTGGAGAGCTCTCCCGGCGGCGCGGGGAGGTGCGGTCACGTGGCCGCCGTTGACATTGACGAGCGGCGGGCCCGGGCCCCGCTCCCTTTGTGGCCGTCGCGGGGGAAGCAGCAGCTCCGCCGGCAGCGCCCGGGGCGAGCCCCGCGCAGGTCGGCCGGGGGGAGCCCGGGGGCCGCCCTGACACTGCCCCAGACTTAGCCGCCCGGTCCCTGCCACCCTCTGGCTCTGGAGCAGAGAGGCTTATCAGTCCCCCCCCAGGGTTAGGTGAGACCTTTCTGTTTGTTTGTGGGCTTGCTGGGGCGTTCGGCGGCTCGCTGGCAGGCTCCGAGAAGGAGGGCACCGTAGAGACGCACGCACGCTTTCTTGTGGAAAGCTGCTTCCGAGGAGGAAAACGCTCCTGAAGAAAACGTCTTTTTTTTCTTTTTTTTTTTTTTCTTTTTTTTTTTTTTTTTTTTTTTTTTTTTTTTTTTTTTTTTTTTTTTTTTTTTTCTTTTTTTTTTTTTTTTTTTTTTTTTTTTTTTTTTTGTGGGGGTGATCGGTTTGAGCTTTCTCTCCTCCCCCCTAGAAAAAGAAAAAAAGCCCTCACTCTTCAGGGTTTTTCTGGAAACCTTACTAGGAAGAATGTGCCAGGGTCAAGTCTTTACTGATTTTCATGGTGAATAGATTACATGCTTGCATTCATGTTCACTTCCGAAGCGCTTAGTGTCTTCCTTCCCTTACTTACATATTAACCTCAAATACCCCGCGAGGCTTCAGCCAAGCTTTACTGGAGGCAATTAACAATGTCGGGTCCCCAGGATGCAGGTTTCCCCTCCTCACCCCCTCCAAATCATCCCTTGCCTCAGTCGCAACTCCAGCAAGCCAGCAAGCCCTCGAAAGTGCAGACCACGGAGCTAAAGACTGTTCGCTGATCTGTCTGCCTCAACTCTGCAGCTAAATGCTTGGAAAACCAGTGGATATTGGGCTATCCCAGCTTGACAAATACTCCGAGTTTAATTGCCAGAAGCCTAGTTAAAATTATTTGACATACTGTTAACCCGTAGGAACAAACTCGCCGTGCCGAGATACTTTCCTTTTAGCTTTGTGTCGTCGCTGAAGGCTGACACCCAGGGAGACCTATTTTAAAAACCTGGTTAAACTTTTACTATTGTTGCATGAAAGGGACGATATAGAAAGCGGATTGTACAGGGCAGAGACTAAAAAGTACTTTTCTGCCAATAAAAATGCACACCCCTCCGAATGAGCAGAGCCAAAGAAAACACAGAAATACGCCAAAGAATACAGCACCTTTTGAGGCACGGACATCCCTAAGCTCTCGGAAAAAGTTTTTTTTTTTTTTGCTCTTTTGATGCTCGATTTCAGAAAAGAAATATTTGAGTTCCGGCTGGATTTTATCAAAATAGAAAAACAGGGTGGCAAAAGGCTATTGTGAAGTCGGTACTCATAGGAAATCAGACGTAGTTCAAGATCCATGCTCCCGTGGACCTGGGAGGCTAGTGGAAGGGAAACGAAAATGTTAGGGAAATAATATTTGGATTTTCCTCCCCTCTTCCTCTGCAGTGCTGTGGAAGTATTTATATATCCGGAGAAAGTTCTCTAGTAAATTCTGGAGATCCTCGGTATTTAAATGTCAACATCGATTTGTTTATTTATTGCTTAGCTTATCGTAACCGACTCAATAACAAATCTAATCATGTTATGTAGAGAGAAAATATTCTCATTATGTATTTCCCCTACATTATAGTTAACTATTGCGTTTGAATTCAAGCTGTAAATTCAAGATTATCAAGTAATTACTTCGTAGTGGAGTAAACTAATTTATTAGCATTAATGTTTATATGCCTTTTTCTTATTTTACAAGGGTTACCGTTCACAAATCAAATGCTCTGGACGTATCCCTGTAATGAACCCTTTATTTTGGTTTGCTGCAAGAACTTCTTATGCTTACTGCACGTCTGTGAGCTGAACTTGAAATTAATGAATTAATCTTCCAGTTTGACATATTTGCTAGAAAGTGGATGGAAAGAGATTGCATGTAGTCAAAACCGCTAGCAGAAGACTGCAATGTCGTTTAGGGATTGTAAAAAGGTTTGGGGGCTTTCCCTCTCACTCCCTCTTAATTTTTTTTTTAACTTGAGGTGGGGAGGGGTGTGCCAGAGCTCTGGTTGGCTTTTTCCTTAACGCTGTAATTTTGCTTGCATTTACTTTCCCCCTGGTTTTTTTTTTTTTTTTTTTTTTTTTTTTTTTTTTTTTTTTTTTTTTTGCGGGGAGTGGTCGTGATGGGGTGGTGGGTGGAGTGGACCGGGGGGTCGGAAACCCTCTTGTGGTGTCCGAACATTGGTTATTTTCCCTGTTTACCCCCACCGTTCAATTCCGTCGATGAAAACCTCACCCCACACCCTGCATACGCGCAGACACTCCTCCCTTCGAACAAAAAGGAATGTATAAGGATTTCAGTGACTTTGAGATAACAAAGGCGCCACCATTGCCGAGCCTCGCCCCGCCTCTGTGTGATGGCAAACAAATTCTTGCACTTGTATTAGGGCTTTTAAGGCTATAATTGAACACGGCGCGTCTAGGGGAACCGAAAACAGTTCTAGACTGACCTGCGGTTTTATAGCACTTTGGCAGTCAACTTCAGCTTGTGTCAGAGCAGACATGACAGAGCTGCCCAACACTTAATCGCGGGACGCCACCTCCTCGGACTCACTGCAGCTGCCCTCTTGCATTTCAATAAATTTCAAACCTTGGGGCTAGAAATGGGGAGCAGAGCTGGCACAGGTTTGTATGGGGCTCTTTGCCGCTCTTCTCTGCAGCGAGGGCTGCGGCGCCGTGCGAGGCTTCGCCGTGCCAGAGGTCGGGGCTGCCTCTGGGAAACAAAGGGAAATTAAGGCAAGAAGGGCGAGAAGGCAACTGGAAATAGGAGTCTGTGTGCGTGGGTGTGCGTGTGTCTGGGCATTATATGTGCTTGCACAGCATGCACACGTGCAGCCCCGATGCCTGCTTTGGAATCGCTCGAGCTCTCTCTCCCACCTCTCCTAAGCAAGCAGCCCATTTCTCTTCAAGCGGGTTTGTAACGCAGGGGGACCCCAAAATGCCTCCGGGTGCCGCCTGCACAACAAGCGGGAAGGGTGACGGGGAAAACCGAGGGGGGCACAGCTCGTCTGGGAGCGAGTAGACACCCAAGGCACAGGCTGTTCTCGGCTTTATTTGCTGTTAAGTGAAAAAAGAGATAATGTACGCTTAAAGTCCCGGAATGTGTGGGTAATTGCAGGGAGCCTGCTGTTAAGTTGCTGTGTTCAGCACAATTATCAATGTTGATTATTTGGTCTAATGTTGAATTGCTCTTTTAATACAGTAATTGGGACTTCCGCGTTGAGGAAGGGGGAAAACCGAGCCTTCCCCTCGCTAACCTCACTGAGAACAACATAAACAAAGGCAGGCATTTCGTTTGGAGAAGCAAAATGCATTCGTTACGCCTTTCCATGTATTTCGACCGGATTAGAGAGGGTAAAACCGCTCTGAATTTGGAACCTCTGCTGCAGGACGGTTCTGCAAAGGAGAAGCGTGGCCAAGAGGTGGGGAGACTGTTACCCATAGCTAAGCTAAACAAAGGGAGGAGAAAAAAGCTACATCTCTTCTTTGGAGGAATATAAACAGAACTAGGACGCCTCGATAGTCTAGTTTTTACATACACAGATGGTGTGCAAAGGGAACTGTTTAACTCACTACTGCTTCTCCAAAAGGTCAAGTTCTATTGTATCTAAATTGTTGTCGTTTTGTACCGGGCTTTGCTTGGAAAATATTTGAAGCCGACCATTTACCTTGCCAGTAGGGTGGGTACCTCTAATTAACAGGAGGAACGTGTGCTAGAAGGAATTTGCGCCAAGAGGAGCTAATTAAAATATTACAGGATCGCTGGCTTCAATCTCTGCTGTTCTCTCGCACAGGGAGGGTGAGGGGTATTATGACTCGAGCAGGAGAAAATATCGAAGGAGTTAGGACAGTGTTTTGTAAAGCTGAGGGTTGATTACAGTCTACAAAGTCTTATTAGGAAAGTATAGCATTAGGGAATTTGAAATGTTGCTGCCAAAAAAAAAACAAAAAATGCTCACCGTCTTTCCACCTTTACCAATGCAAATAGGGGCACAAGGCGATAATTCGTCGCAAAATTTGCCAGGAATGCAGCTTCAGAAAAACCCGCTGATTATTTGTATTTTAAATATCTCGGGCTTAGAAGTTCTTAAAAGGCATTTATTTTCTGTTTGCGGTTCTGTCTGCTATGGAAATAAGCTATACGTATACTTTCTTTCCCCCCTAATTAAATATGTCTCCGTAAGATCGCAATAGAATGAAATCCTTCAATAGCTAGGTAAATAATTTAAATAATATGTGAATTCTTGTATGTATTTGTATATGTGTATATATTTATGAGATGGAAGCCCCGTACTGTGACATAGCTATTTATTTTCCAAAATGTGAGGCGGCGTGGTTGTGATTTTGCCAGAAAACTGTAGAATATGTGCAAAGAGAACAAGCAGATGTAAACAGGATTCAATATATATATATATTTTACCACATTACATTTCAGAGGCTTGAACACCTCAAAAGGCTGTAGTCTTCTGGGCTAGAATATTTCAGATTAATTTTTAACATAAAATAGCAAAAGCCTTTCCTTTTCTCCGTCACCCCCTGTATCTTTTTAAGTTGCTGAAATGAAGAGGGCGATTGTTTTGGTTTTTTTTTTTCCCAACCAAGCCTCCCGTCTAGTTTTAATTTTAGGATTAAACGACTACGGACCTACACAGATATACTCCTTGTTGGCGAACAATCATGATGTTTCCCATCCCTTTGAGCTGATGAGCATCTGAGGTCTCTCTGATGACTGCAA